AGGGATATAATTTCCCCTCTAATACAGCTTTCATGGCATCCCAGAGATTTTGGTAAGATGTTTCTGCATTTTCATTTGTTTCCAGGTATCTTTTGATCTCTGCTTTGATTTCATCATTGACCCAGGAGTTGTTTAGCCTCATGATGTTTAGTGTCCATGTCTTTGTGGGTTTTGGGGGGACCTTGTTGGTGTTAATGTTTATTTTTATTCCACTGTGGTCCGAGAAGATGCATGGTAAAATTTCGGTCCTTTTAAATTTGCTTATGCTTGATTTATGGCCAAGTATGTGGTCGATCTTAGACTATGTTCCATGCAGTGATGAGTAGAATGTATATTCTGTGGTCTTTGGATGGAGTGTTCTGTAGGTATTGATTAAGTCCATTTGGTCAAGAGTCACATGAGGTTCCGGATCTCATTGCTGATTTTTTGTGCTGATGATCTGTCTAGGGTTGTGATTGGTGTATTAAAGTCCCCAGTTATGATGGTGTTAGAGTCAATATCTTTCTTTCGTTTTCCTAGAAGCTTCTTTATGAAAGTTGGCACTCCTATGTTGGGTGCATATATGTTTAGGTTAGATATTTCTTGTTGATGGAGTGAACCTTTTATCATTATGTAGTGGCCCTCTGAATCTTTTTAAATTTTTGATAGCTTAAATGATATTTTGTCTGAAATTAGGATTGCGACTCTCCCTTTCTTTTGTGTTCCATTCATCTGAAAATTTGTTTCCCATCCTCTTACTTTGGGTCTGTGCATGTCCCTTCTAGTGAGATGGGTCTCTTGAAGGCAGTATATTGTTGCCTGATGGTATTTTATCCTTTTTGCCATTCTGTGTCTTTTCAGTGGTGCTTTAGTCCATTCACATTCAGGCTAATTTTTGAAATGTGAGAGTTCATCCCTATCATAGAGTTCTTATAGAGTTGTTGTTCTTCCACTTGGTTTTTTGTCTTTCTTTTGGTTTTGGGGTTGGTTCATGTGTATTTTATTCTTTTTCCTGTACTCTTGTGAAAAGCCTTGTTCTTTTTTCCTTTTCTTCTGTGTTTAGTACTTTCTTAAGTGTTTCTTTTTTTTTTTTTTGAGTTGGGGTCTCACTCTGTCACCCGGGCTGGAGTGCAGTGGCCGTTCCAAGCCACTGCAGCCTTGACCTGCTGGGCTCCGGTGATCCTTTTGCCTCAGCCTTCTGAGTAGCCGGAATTAGAGGCATGCGCTACCACGCCTGGCTGATTTTTTATTTATTTATTTATTGTAGAGATGAGGTCTTGCCAAGTTGCCTAGGTGGGTCTGGAACCTGCGGACTCAGGCAATCCACTCACCTCAGCCTCCCAAAGGCGTGGGATTACAAGCTAAGCCACTGAGCCCATCTAAGTGTTTCATGTAGAGGTGGTCTGGTGGTGGCATAAGTTCTTAGGGATTGGATATCTGGGAAAGATTTTAATTCTCCCTCGCTGATGAAGCTTAACTTGGCTGGGTAGGTTATTCTTGGTTGAAATTGTTTATCTTTTAGGACTTTGAAGATGGGGCTCCAAGCTCTCCTAGCCTGCAGGGTTTATGTAGATTAATCTGCTACTATTCTAATTGGTCTTCCATGGTAGGTGATCTGGCCTTTTTCTCTTGCTACCATTAGGATTTTTTCTTTTATACCTACTTTGTTTAGGTGAATTATTATTTGTCTAGGAATTGGTCTTCTCATTTGTTGTCTTGCAGGGGTTCTCTGAATCTCTTGTGTGTGGATTTTTGCATCACTGATTAGATGAGGGAAGTTTTCTTGAATAATCTCATGGAAAGTTTGTTCTAGTGTGGTCTCTGTCTCTCTTTCTGCCTCAGGAAGGCCAATTACTCTTAGGTTCGGTCTCTTGAAGTAATCACTCATTTCTTGAAGGTTTTGTTCTGTCTTTTTGAGCTTGTCTTCTGAGCTTTTAACAGTTTGAGTTAGTTCTATATTTTGGTCCTCAAGCTCTGAGATTTCTTCTGCTTGGGTAATTCTGCTTTCCATGCTTATCAGTTTGCTATTTAATTCAATCACAGTATTCTTTATTATTGTTATCTCTAGCTCCTTCCTAGTTTCTTCTTGTCTCTCCTCAATTCTTTTTAATCTCTCCATTAATGTCTTTATATCTAGGTTTGTAGTTATATCTTCATTGTTGGCATTCCGAAGTCAGGTTTCTCAGTGTCTACCCTCCCAGTGGTCTGGGAGAGACCCATACTCTTCTTTTGGTTTTTCTTCATTTGTGTAGATTTTTCTTTCTCTCCCCCTTTCCCTCCCCTTCTTTAATTCTGTTTTTCAGGGAAGGTGGGGTTGCTTTTGCTTCGCTTGTGCAATCTCCTGTTCTTCCTTATGAGGGTCCTCTGGTTTTGTTCACTTTTGAGGTTGGAATGTGGGCTGCAGGTGTACTTTTTGCAGTTTTGAGGTTCAATTAAGGGGGAAGCTGTGATTCAGAATCTATCTGCTGATTCCAGCATCCATCAACTGGTGTATGAGCCCACTGGAACCTATTTCCCCCTGCCTTACAATCTGTCTGTGTAGTGGTATGTAGGTTTGGTCCCTGGATCAAAAGGAGGTGCAAAAGAGGAAAATAATGGAGGAAGGGGGGGTCAATAGGAAGTTATAAAGAGAGGAGAGTGAGAGGGAAAACAGACCTGCATACCAACTAACAGGTGAAAAAGAGACACAAGGCCGGAGAGAAGTGAAAAAAACACGCAAGCAAAATTCCCTAAAGAATACTGGTAGCTACACGAAGACAGACCAATAAAATCATGCCTTTTGATGCATTTTGCATAACACAAACAGATAGTGTAAGTCAAAAAGCAAGCAAAAGTGAGCAAAACAGTCAAAATGATTAAATCAAAAGTCAAAATAAGAAATCAGACTAGCTCTGGAATCTTTCCTGAGTGTCTAAAGTCTCTTCAGTTCTGATCTCCAGCCTCTCCCCTTTGTTTTCGTTGCAGACAGCTAAATTTACTCACAGCTTGGGTTTTCTTCTAGCCTGCTGCCTGGGAGGTCTGCGGCGCTTAGTTGCCTTTGTCTGATTCAGCGTAGGGGAGGTGCTTTGTCTCCTGTTTAGCAACGTTACCTTAGGAACCGAAGTGGAGGCTGCTTATAGGTGGGCAGGGCAATGCAAATCTCTGCCTGGAGAATGGCCGAGGTGGCAGCTTCTCTTTCACAGATACTTTCTCTCTGCTCAGCTGGGTCCCTGGGCAATCCACTATGATGGAATGTAGTGGTGTGGGAGGCACCGGGGATCAGCTGCACAGTTGAGCACTGGATCCGGGGTGCCACCAGCAGGCTGGAGTGGAGGAGGGGGTCGGGAGTTCCCTCCTCTGGGGCTGAGAGCCTCCGATCAGTATCTCCTTAAGGTATGCTGTTCCCTTACACAAGCATGGGGTCACGCACTGAGTGCCTCAGCCAGGGTGGGCCCAGAGCTCCAGAGCTCCAAAGCTCCAAAGGGCAGGCGGTGATTGGCAAGAGTGGCCCTGGGACGCTCACAGGGTACTTCAGCCAGAAATGGAATCGGTATCTCTGAGGGGTGGGCGCCCAGAGCCTCCCTGGGTGACTGGCGGCTTGGTGCTGGGTGCTGGGCAAGATGATGTAGGGAGGGAGGGAACCGAGACCTGAGACTCCCACATGGGCAGGAGTCACGTACAGTGGAGCAGCAGCAACCAGGGGCCATAATATCCGGCCCTGTGTGGGACTGAGGGTCCCTGGGCCTCAGACCAGTGCAGCTGGCAGTGGGCAGGGGCGTGGGGGAAGAAAAGTAAGAGTCTTTTTGGGAACTCACATTTGGAGAATCTCACAATTCCACCTATGCCGTCGCCATCTTACCGGTACTCCTCCGGGGTACTATTTTAAAGAAATTTTTATATATAACCAAATATTTTCTAAAGTAATTGAATATTGTTTTCTATGTTCCTGTTGACATTACTGACAATTTATCATGCCTGTGATGTATATTTCTTTAGCTAAGAAATTTTGGCAGTACAACTCTTCTATAAAAGGTAGCTATTAAATGATCCATCCTATAGATGAAACATTTTGCGATAATTAGAACTATTATTACATACATCCATATTACATAAAATGTACATTGTAGTCACTATTCTCTAGCTATTTTTAAAACATTTTCTCTTTTCAATATATGTGTATAGTAAATTTTTCCAACAAGCAGAAAAATACTATTGAGTTCAATGGCCCTTATTCTACTTATAGAAGGGGCTCACTATCCACTCCTTTTCTTAAGAACATCACTAAGTTCACTGTGTTGTAATAACACTTATCTCCTTGGGTTGCTTTCAGATCCAGGACCTCATATTTGGAGGAGTGCTGTAATCTGTCAAAAATATATGAACATTAGGGGGCATGCCACAGGGGTGAGCCAGCTACCTGAGTGTAGGCAGAACATTGCATCTCAGTAGGCATTCATTCTTCAGCTATAAGCTCTAAGCATGCCTGTTTCAGGATTTAGGGGTCATACTCTTCTTGTACGTAGAAGTGAGCAGTGTCTCCTCAGGATTTGGGTGGTTTGTGAGAGGGTGGGAACTATGAGCTTGCTACCATTTGAGTGTAGAGAGAATGAACATGACTGTAGTTCCAGGAGAAAGAGACTAGAGACTTAGAATTGCCAAGAGCCTTCTCACCACCAAATTTCGATCTACTATTACTGAAAAAATGAGTAAATAAAAGAAAGCAAATATTGAAAATGTATTTATAACTAAAATGTATTTTTCAGAACGCTGTAAATGTAAACCTATTAGAGCCACACAGAAGACCTATTTCCGGAACAATTACAACTATGGTAAGGATAATTTCATGGTTGATTTATAAACTGCTGTATTAGGAAAGAGGTGTGTGTGTGTGTGTACGCGCGTATGCATACTTGTGCGTAAATGATTAGAGCAGTTTAAGAATTAGGCTTAAAAACAAATAAATTAGGACAACTAATTAAGAGTATGGTCCCTGTGTCTCAACCAATCAAAATGTCTCACGTGGGCAAAATTCTTAACAAATGGCTGATCTTGAAGCATGTCAGCAACATTGTTGGCACCTTAAAACCCTATAATCAAGTACACCAAGATGTTTCAAGATAGATGGGACTCCTCTACCTGGGAGGATGGAGGAGGATTTGAGCTCAAGTGTCTGAAGCCGCATAAGCCATCCCTTGTGCTTCATTGGGATGAACAGAGAGTGCTTGGATGCACAAGGAATGGTTCAAGAGTCCAATTTGGTTTCTTCAGCCAGTTTATCCCATGGAAAACATTGACAGAACTGAAAGGCAACCCTTATAGAAGTTATTGTATTCAATTGAGGAAATGTTCTGTTATCTAGGTTAACCTGAAAATCCAACATTCTGGTAAACTATTAATCAAAAAGCTACCAATCCAAATGTAGCTGACAAACTTAATTGAAGAATGATAAAGCTTGCTGTTTTTGTGCCAGGGACAGTACTACATGGTTTCCATACACTATCTTGTTTAATTTTCTCAACTTCCCCCATGAGATGTATTATTGTCCTGATTTTATCAATGAATCTTGAACCTAAGTTGTTGCTTTGATTGATTATAATATACTTTTGGGTACTAATATGTTTCAGAGTTATAAACTTATTTATATAGACCCATACCCAGAAGAAACAATTAATGATAAATAAGGGACTAATTGATATTTATTTCATCCTAGGCATTTTATTTTGATCTTTTCCAGTATCTATGGGATTCATAAAGAACACATTACCATCTCTGCATAAGGCTATTGATACTAAGTCAATGAATAAACATGGAGATTAAATAGACTGTTAATGTGAACTTAATTATTAAAATGAGAGTTTTATTATTATTTACATGCCCTATTTTAGAGGATATGGGATATTTAGAGTAGATTTATTTCTACTGCTATACTTTTGGGAATTGGAAGGAGAGAAATAAGACTCTGTAGGAATCATATTTAATACCTTTGAAAATATGGTGTATTAAAAAGCATAGAGTAAAAAATTATGGACTTAGTTAAATCTCTTTAAAATGAATTTACCTTGTTTCCCACATTTTTCTTCAGTGGAATCAATTTTTATTTTTTGCTTGCTTCTCATCTTTAAAGGAATCTAGCCTCTCTTAGCCAATGGTGGACACATTTTCCAAGTTTGAAAGGTTATGTTTATCTAAAAAGTCAAATGCCTGTCTGCTTATCTGAAAACACTTTTCGTACAAATTGTTGTGGAAAACCTCAGGAGAAGAGAAGGTCTTAGTTTTCAGGAGATTAGGTGTTTAAGACTGAAAAGTACCATATGAACATTCAAGTACTATTACACAAAGAGCAAAAACATAATACAAATATTATATCATGAAATTTAGTTATTTGTATTTATTTTACTTATTATCAATTTTTACTTTATCCACCTTCCTTAGTGCTGCAATGGTTGGTGCTGTTTTTGTTTGTTTGTTTTTAGAAAGCAGGATTTATTGAGAGGACCAAAAAGCTCCCACAGTGGGAGGGGGCCTGAGGGAGTTGCCCGGTGCTGTTATTTTTGTTAAAATTGAAAGACAAGTCATAGAGAAGGTCTTGGAGAAGGTAGCAGAGTGAATGTTATAAAATAAAATAGGATATGGATCACAATTACTAGAAAGAAACAGATAATTTCTTTTTCACAGCCAAGCAATAACTGAGTTGCTTATAGTTTGAGGGTTGTCATTTGTCTGGGACTTCTTGCAGCTTCTTTGGAAAAGGCAGGCATACAACTGATTAAATAGAAGGAAAAACTCTGCAAAGGAAAGATATTTTCACTTCCAAAATATGTTGATTTTTATCTGATATATCTGCGTGTGTCTATGAAGAAAAGAAAGTGAGGAGTGGGAACAATTAGTAATTCAGACAAAACCTCTACTTTATTCAGATTAATTCAGTTAAAAACTCTTGAGTTTTAACAAAATATCTTGTATAAAAAAGTAGGTCTTGTAGAGAGATATTTATTTTGGAGTGAGTACATGTGCTAAAAATTTCTAATGAAAATAGTAGACACTGGGTAAATAAATCATTAGCTTGAGAACACTTGCACAGTTCACTAATCTCTAATAGTGGAGGGATGCTATGAAGCCATGGACACACAAAAATGTCTGCCTGCTGGGGCTGAGATTCATCTGATTCTCCCAAATGGCAATTCAAAAAGTACAATCTCATCTTTTGTTAAAATACAGAATAGAAAAAACATGAATAGAATACAGAATAGAAAAAACATTAATAGAAAGGAACTCTACTTGCAAATTGAACCTAGCAGGGAGAGCTGGGTAGCTATGTTTTGTTTGCTATAAATTCTTATGTTTGAGGCAACTAACTCTCTGAGGATTAAAGTACCTGTGAAGCAAAAATAAGGTTTTGTCCTAAAGTTTAAAAAACTTATTAGTAATTAAACTTCTGTCATATGTATGTTGTACAGGTAGAAGATTAGTAAGTTGTTAAGATGAAGCTGGAACATTAATGGGGGAATGGTTTATTAGCTGGCTTTATATTTTCATGGATTGCTTTTTTCCCCCTAATCCTTTGAAGTTTAGAACCCATGAAATATGTGGGAAGATACTCAGATAAAAGTGGTTTGCAGATATGTGCCTAAGAAGTTTTCAAAAAGTGGGTTCACTTGGCTAAAGTGTGTTTTATTTTCTTCTGTATAAACACCCATAGATATTGAACTCAAGCAATGAAGGTGTCTGGGAAAATGCCTTTGGCTTTCTTACTAATTGACATTTTTACTTCTCTTTAAAAAGCTCATTTACCAGAAGTAGGAATCTAAAGAATTTGACTCTTTCAAAGGAGAGAGATACAGAAAAGAAGCAGAGCTATGCTTTCTAGATTCTGTGTCACATACTTGCAACTGCAGGCTATCTGTCGTTACATTGAGAGGTAAAGCTGACTGTTGTGAGATAAATTGGTCACCAGTATCAACATCGAAAGAGGTAGATGAATGCATTTGACATGCTGGAACTTATTCTGTAGTATGTGACAGGAAGGAACGTTGGAATGCTTGCCATCAAAGCAGATGAGGTAACAAGTTCTCATGGTGACAGTTTTTGTTCAAGAAGAAAATATAGTATGCCTAAAGGAGAGTATACAAGATAACCTATACTGACACAGAGGAAGAAAGGAGCTCATCACGTCTGAATGGTGAGCTAAGATGAGGATGGTGGAAATACATCAGGACCAGTTTGGAACACTATCAAACAAGGCAACTTTAAAACACTAAAGACACCCGCTTATCTGGGAAGGTCTGTTGATAAACCTGATAGAAGAATGCTAATGAGGAAAAAGTAGAAGTCTTTTTTATGTAGTGAAATCAGTGCAGTTTAAATTCTTGTCGGCAGCAATTGGAACTGTACACATACATATGCACACTTCCAAAACAAAATTTTGGAGGAAAATTATATCAGACTATTCAGTTAACCTTTGATTATCTAAATGGATTTCTCAAAATCACACGCACACACATATGCATCTGTATACACAAATATATATGCACACACAGATTGGAAGGGGATCAAGCCTGAAGATTAAGGGGGCAGGTCTGTTGTTAATGTGTCACTCAGTACAGTTTAAGGGAAAACTATCTGGCAGACTTTATAGATTGAGTATCAAGTGGACAAGAATTGGCTAGATAGAAGCCCATTTTGTCTTTTTTGAATGAGAGACCTATTGTGGGTCATATTACTATATCTGCTTTATTGTCTTTTATTGCAGTAATTCGGGCTAAGATTAAAGAGGTAAAGACTAAGTGCCATGATGTGACTGCAGTCGTGGAGGTGAAGGAGATTCTCAAGGCATCTCTGGTGAACATTCCAAGGGATACCGTCAACCTCTACACTAGCTCTGGCTGCCTGTGTCCCCCACTTAATGTCAATGAGGAATATATCATCATGGGCTATGAAGATGAGGAGCGTTCCAGGTAATTCACTCCTTAAGGGCTCTGAAGAGCTTGTCTGTCCTACTCTGACCACATTTCTCTTTAGAGATCTTCCTCTTGTATTCTTACCATGGGATCTGTCTACTTTCCTGAGGATTGCAGGTTTGAGTTGGATCCCTTGATTCCATATATTGAAAAGAAAAGTTTATGTGTACAGCTTATGGGTGTGTGTTTTTTAAGAAAGAGGGATTATAACTTCATTTGTTTCTTAAAGGGGCCTATGACTCCCAAATGGCTAAGAATTACTATTCTAAAACTTGGCTATCTGATTCCAGAATAAACATGTATGTCTTTTTTGGCATTGATTCCTTGTATTTTTCAGTAATAGGTTTTAATTTTTTTAAAATGATTACTTCTTTTAAAAATGCAGATTACTCTTGGTAGAAGGCTCGATAGCTGAGAAATGGAAGGATCGGCTTGGTAAAAAAGTTAAGGTAAGGCTATATTTTATGTGCAATGTAATACACAGAAAACAAAGTAGAAAACCAGTCACCTGTCACTTAAGTGAAATACCTGCTGTCAACTACTTGAGAAATATTAATACCCATAGATACCAATACCTATGTACTATGTGTAGCCACATACATCTAGATGTAAGAGATCTGGGCTGGGCATGGTGGCTCATGCCTGTATTTCCAGCACTTTGGAAGGCCGAGGCAGGAGGATTGCTTGAGCCTAGGAGTTTGATACTAGCCTGGGAAACATAGTGAGACATTATCTCTACAAAAATAAAAATTTGAAAAAATAAAATTAAAAAAATTAGCCTCATGTGGTGGTACACACCTGTAGTCCCAGAGGCAGAAGGATTGCCTGAGCCCAGGAAATTGAGGCTGTGGTGAGCTGTGATGGTACAACTGCACCCCAGCCTTGGTGACAAAGTGAGACCTCGACTCTAACAACAACAACAAAAAGACAGAGATCTGACCAAATTAGGTCCTAATAGCAATAGCAATAATGTAGCTTTACTTTTAAGCCAATGATTCTTAGATTCTGGAATTGATACATTTTAAAAAATCACATAGTAAATTATTTTATTATAGACGGGTTTGTTTCTTCTTACTGCACTAGGCAAATCTGTTTCAAAGAAAAGAATGTGGGGGAAATGCATAGGGGGACAAAGAATCCAAAAGGCGGTGTGTGTGGGTGAGGGGAGTGGGAACTGTACCAAACATAATACATCCTCTTCCTTCTGCGAGTTTGAAGGCTTGGGAAACATTTACAACAGGGTAAGTTCAACACCCCTGGGCAGTTTATCTTATACATCTGGCACTTGACACAGCAGACACGTTTGGGTTTAAGTGACCTACAAAAATGTAAAAGGCATTATTTTGTATGGAAAAACTACCCTCCAGTAAGTTATTTTTTCCCCCCAGTATACTTGAGATATATTTCAAGTTCAGACTTGTGAGCATTCTCTCTTTGCATCTCTTCAATTAGTTTGATGTTTTATTAAAGAAAAAATGGCTCTTGTTCAGGATGTTGAAATCTCTTACTGTCTTTTTAATTTGGTTTTCTGCTTGCTAATGCAGAACAGGAATTTGTCCTAAATTCCTGTACCAGTTGGAAGAGCTTTCAACATCCCTGCTGCAAAGCGTGCAACAGGCCTAACTGCTCCTCTGGAGGTACCAAAACAGTATTGTTGTGTTGTTGACAGAATACATAGCTTGTTTGTCCTGGTTCCTAGTAAGGTATTTCCCCTTCTGCAGTAATATTTCCCATTGCTTTCTGCAGGGGCTCACAGAGTTATCCTTGTGAGTTCATCTATATTCTCAGTGTGGATAAAAACATACTAAAGGGAAGAAATAAACCAATAACTTGAATAATTTCTATGTCATATGCAGATGCTCTGGGATAAAGAGTTTGGGTTAGAGAATCTCTTTCGGCCAGAATTACTAAGATCTTTATTTCAGTTTTCCAGTCAATTTGTGGATATAAAAAGAGTTTTATGGAGGATATGATTTTTTTTTTTTTTTTTTTGAGTTGGAGCCTTACTCTGTCACTCAAGACTGGAGTGCAGTGGCCGCTCCCATCCACCGCAGCCTTGACCTGCTGGGCTCCGACGATCCTTCCACCTCAGCCTTCCAAGTAGCCGGAACTATAGGCACGTGCTACCACGCCCGGCTAATTTTTTGATTTATTGTAGAGATGAGGTCTCGCCAAGTTGCCCAGGAGGGTCAGGCAATCCACTCACCTCAGCCTCCCAAAGTGCGAGATTACAGGCTGAGCCACCGAACCCGGCTAATATGATTGTTTTCTAATCAGAGTTGCCTTTAGTTGATATCTCGGTGGATAGATCAAGAATTTTTAAAAGATATTATTATGGTTTTTCTATACAAATGGTTGTTTACCTAAGTCTCTGTTATAGCTGATTGTTTAAATCAAGACATTTTGACTGCCTTGGGGAGTTAGAATCAGACTGTTTTGTAAATATGAAAGAAAGATTGTGGAGTAAAATGTGCTAAAATGAATAATTGCTTATAGTAATAGACAAATAATAGCTAATTTATTATGTGCTAAGCACTTCATACATTTTAAAAATCAATCTTTAAAGCAGACTTATAAGTAGATTAGATTATTAATTCCAATATATACATGATGCAAATGAGGTCTAGTAAGTTCAAGAAACTTCACATGGTAAGTGGTGGGGTTGGAATTTGAGATTGAACCACTTGACATTAGCTCCTTGCTACTCAAATTGTGGTACCTGATCAGCAACATAGGCATCATCTGGTAGCTTGTTAAGTATGAAAATCTCAGAACTACTGAATGAGAACCTGCAATTTTAACAAGTCCCTCAGGTGATTTCTGTGTGCATTGGAGTTTGAGAAGTACAACTCAGCTGGGCTTGGTGGCTCGGCCTGTAATCCCGCGCTTTGGGAGGCTGAGGTGAGTGGATTGCCTGAGCCCGTGGGTTCGAGACCCACCTGGGCAACTTGGCGAGACCTCATCTCTACAGTAAATCAAAAAATCAGCCAGGTGTGGTAGCACATGCCTGTAATTCTGGCTACTCGGAAGGCTGAGGTGGAAGGATCGCCGGAGCCCAGCAGGTCGAGGCTGCAGTGGCCGGGAGTGGCCACTGCACTCCAGTCTGGGTGACAGTGTGAGACTCCAACTCAAAAAAAAAAAAAAAAAAGAGAAGTACAACTATAGTCCTTATTCCCTACCAATAATTCCATAACATTATTTTCATTTAATTTCTAGTATGTGTAAATGTTATTGACATTGTTAATATGAAATATTAGTAAACTTAACTGTGGTTATTAAAAACATTGGTGATACCCTCTTTGTAAAACTTAGAATGAGGGCAGGACCTTGTCTGTTTTGTTTGTTGTACTTGGTGGATATTATCTAGAAAAATATCTTTAAGAATCCCATCCCTCCAAAAAATTTCCATTTGTTTCACTGCTCAAATCACACCATTTTTAAAAGGCTATGTCTTAGGTATCTTAAGAGAGGAGGATGAAATATAGCCTTTCCTTCAAATTCTCCATGGAAATCTTCCATTTGTTGAACCAGAAATATCAACAGACATGAGTAAATATTTGTATTGTGATTTATAAGACAGAAATTTTAAGTTTATGATTTGATAAGAAAGCATTATTACATATATTATGGATGGCAAACTTTAGCATCAGATCAGTTTGGTTGTTATCCTGGGATATGGGTTTTACTTTCAGAAAAGGAGTAAAATGCTTTAGAGATCTGACTTTGCAGTCTTACCAAGTTGTTAGAATCACAGAAATAATGACCCTGGCTATATATGGTTCTGACTATTTTTCTGTTTTAAATTTCACAGCGCTGGGATATGAAGCTCCGGCATCTTGGACTGGGTAAAAGTGACTCTAGTATTAGTGATTCCGCGCAAAGTCAGAAGTCTGGCAGGAACTCAAACCCCCGGCAAGCACGCAACTAAATCCTGAAATGCAAAAAGTAACACCAGTGGACTTCCTATTAAGACTTGCATTCTTGGACTAGCACAGGAAAATTGCACTATTGCACATCATATTCTATTGTTTACTACAAAAATCATATGGTAACTAATATTACTTCTATTTTCTCTTTTGTTTCCTGTTTTTTCTCTTCACTCCCACCCCTCCCCCCTTTTTAATGGTTTGGGGGCAGATCCTTAAATATATTATATGACTTCTATTTCACTAATCATAGGAAAACAATTCTTTTGCAATAATAATAAATTAAACACGTTGATACCAGGACCTCTTAGCTAGAGTTCCCAGATGTTAATTTACTGTTCTGCACTTGAATTGGGAATACAATATTGGATGCGAAAGAGGGATTTCTGGTATACACAGAAAACTAGATATGCTTGTAAAACAAACACTGCTGATCTAATTACAGCCTCATTTTTGTATGCCTTTTGGGCATTCTCCTCGCGCTTAGAAAGTTCTGAATGTTCATAAAGGTACAATGACAGTTTGAAATCAGATGCCACATAGGCAAAGCAATCAGGCACCAGGAAGCATTTATGAGGAAACAACACACAAGACAAATTATTTTTGAGATTGGCAGGAAGCAAAATAAATAGTGGTAGGAGCTGGGAAAGAACATTTTGCCTGATTGAGAAGTACATCTGAAACCAGTAGCCGTTGGGTGTTAACAGTAGCATTCTTTTGGCAATACATTTGATTTGTTCATGAATATATTAATCAGCATTAGGAAAGTGAATTATAACTAGACATCTGCTGTTATCACCATAGTTCTGTTTAATTTGCTTCCTTTTAAATAAACGTATTGGTGGAAGCCTTTTTTCCTCCCTCTCTTCTTTTAAAAGAAATCAGACTTGCTGTATCAACCAGGAAAAGGAAGTTTTAGATGCATGTGCACTAGGGTGTTATTTTAAAGAAAACGTAGCTCTATAAAATGCTGTAGATTTCAGGATGATGAGATGTGCATGTTTTTTAATTTTGTTTTTGGTGTGTGTGTCTGTATTTGTGTACATGTTTGTCTATGCACTCACACCCAAGCTGGACTAAATTACAGGCCTGTGAACTGGCCTGCACTTCATCATCTGGATTTGTGCTGTTTAATGATCAGTGAAAAATGTCTAATAAAAGGAATTATGGTTGTCAGGAGAGAGGTTATTTTGACTTTTCAACCATATGCACATTTCTTATCCAAATGGCAGTGAGATCCCCAGGGGCTGTGGTGAACAAATGATGTTTTTACAGACAGTCCCTAACTTATGATGGTTCAACTTAACGATTTTTGACTTATGATGGGTTTATCAGGGCATAACCTGATCCATTTCAACTTACGATATTTTCAACCTTCGATGGGCTTCTCTGGATGCAGCCCCATCCTAAGTGGAGGAACATTGTACTTCTCCAGCAGAGTTTCTTAGAGCCTGTACCAATCACTCGAAAGTCTCCTCTGCAATTTACATGCATGCTATAAGTAGAACCCAATTTCTAAGCTGTGGTGTGCTGAAAATAAAACACTTATGAAGCAAAATGGTGCTGTGTTTCCTTCTACAGGGATAGTCATACAAGGATTAATTCATTCCTGAGCAAAGGGTTCCTAAAATGGTAAATAGTAATTCATCTAACTTCTCTCCTTTAGAAGTATGAAAGTCACTTATACAAAATGGAGTAATTCATGTGATGCAAGGTTAAAATGGAGTCGGGAGGCCATGGGGAAGGGAACCCAGGTCTATGCTGCAGGAACTGTTTTTGCAGTTCAACAGAAAAACCACAAAGACCTAACTGTAACTTTGAGATTACATCTTACCTAATGACTGCTCCCACTCTCCAATGAGACCTCACTAGCTCCTGCAGGACCCTATTTGCTCAGAACTTTGTTTCAGAACAACTTAGGTAACCTTTCTCTTTCCCCCAAGAAAACCCTAGCCTTTTCCTTTGTTCTTTGGACACACCTAGGGACTGCCCTAGTTGTTTGTGTGCCCTAAATTGCAATTCTTATATATTATTTCCAAATAAATCTTTTATTTAGAGACTTCTCTCTCTATAATTAAGGTTGACAGAAGAGAACATTCCTGCCTTTTGATTGGCTCCCAAACCCTGACAATTTTCCCAATCCCAGAAGAAAGACTTCCCACTTTGGCCAAAAGGAGGACTGTGTAATCTTTGGGGTTACTATGTGATTGCTTTCAGATAATCTTGCCCTCTGCCTTTTGGGCTGCGTCCTTAGATGACTAAGCCAGGTCATCTCTTTCTAGATGCTGCTGTCGTAATCTTAAAATGTGAGTTTGAGTGTCACAGAGGAGTCATGAAGGGCCACCATGGAGGGACAGTCTCTCTCTCTAGTATGTCGTACTCAACATGAGCCTCAGGGATCAGAGTGGGTCCTTGAGGAAAAATAGTGCTTTTGCCTCGGCCTGTTTATCTCAGGCCTTCCCATGCTAACTCTGGGAAGAAGGGCAAGAATCCACTACAGGAGAGACCTAAAGGAACTCTTACCCAAACCCACAGATTGTCAACTCTATCAATGCATGATATAGAGCAATTCTAAGTAATGAAATATTTTGATGTACAATGAAAGCCACAGATCTTTCCAACTCCTGCAATTTTGGGAAGCTGGGGAGGTGATATAATTAATTTCTGTGTAGGAATTTGACACAATTTATGCTTAATACATATAGAAAAATGGTACTGATAAACAAAAGATGGTCAGATCCTTAGATTCAGAAGCGTATTTTTTTTACAACCTTCCATTTTAATGATCTGTAATGCCAATGTTTGACGTGCTCATATATATGAGGCTTCTGTCCTTTGTTTTAAAAATTTCTAATGGCATAAGGTCCATGAAGAAAGTATATTTGGCTGTTCAATTTGATAGCTGCAACATCTTCATTAATAAACGACATGCAGGTCTCTTTTGGGGCTGGCATGATTTACCATGATGGTCGGTCACGTTTCTAAAACCACCAGAAATTTAATATATACATGTCCTTGTCAGTAACCTTGGGATTTTAAATCTGTAAGATTTAAAATTTCTTTAGAAAATGTTCACTTTCAGTATTTTAATTTTCTTAGCCAAATAAAAGTCAGGTGCTTGCTGAATAAAGTAGCAAAAATTAAAAATAACAGCAAATTTGGCTTCTCTTTTCATGGATACATGAGTATTTTACTGTGTCACATGCACTGTAATCTGATTCTGTGCCATATGTTGCACTGAACATTCAGGGGTGGGGTGGGGCAAACCCTATCTTTTCACATCTGTTGTACATTAAGAAGGTAAATACAAAAGTTACAATCACTGAGTGCAAATAGCCTTCTGCTAGAAATTACTTGCTATTACATTTCAAAAGTCAAATGACTAAAAAGTACTTCAAGATTGAAATTTATTTAGTACAATGAATTTTAACTTTTTAAAAAACACACTTGCGGCTGGCTCGGTGGCTCAGCCTGTAATCCTGCGCCTTTGGGAGGTTGAGGTGAGTGGATTGCCTGAGCCCGCGGGTTCGAGACCCGCCTGGGCAGCAAGACCTCATCTCTACAATAAATCAAAAAATCAGCCGGGCGTGGAAGCGCATGCCTGTAATTCCGGCTACTTGGAAGGCTGAGGCGGAAGGATCGCCAGAGCCCAGCAGGTCGAGGCTGTGGTGGCCGGAAGAGGCCACTGCACTCCAGTCTGGGCGACAGAGTGAAACTCCAACTCAAAAAAAAAACAAACCACATTTGCTGGCTTGAACGTTTAGCATATTTTAATACACACAAGAATTCAAGAAGATGGTAAAAATAAAGCAGAAATTTCTAATACTGTGCTACTGAAATCAACCCTATGAAATTTTAAAATATGGTTCCCAGATGCATGAATATTAATAAAAACAGTATAGCCATACCTTTGATAATCATCTTTTTTGGGGTAATCATGTCTAACAGTGGCTAGAACTCTATACAAAACACTTGCACGTATGTTACCTCACATATTTCTTGAAAGTTCATGAGGTAGATGTTATTTTCATTTTATAGATAAAAATGGATGATTTAGAACTTCAGAGTTATGTAAGTAGCAAAGCTGGATCTTAGACCCTCTTAATCTTATTTCCCAAGTTACATGTTTTCCACCATTGTAGTTACTGATAAAAAGGTAAATGCATCCTAACAATGTTAAAAATACAAAGCACAGTGCCAGGTACATAGCACCTACTTATTTATTTCTTTTTTTTTTTTTGAGTTGGAGTCTCACTCTGTCGCCCAGACTGGAGTGCAGTGGCCGCTCCCGGCCACCGCAGCCTCGACCTGCTGGGCTCCGGCGATCCTTCCGCCTCAGCCTTCCAAGTAGCCGGAACTACAGGCGTGCGCTACCATGCCCGGCTGATTTTTTTATTTATTATAGAGATGAGGTCTCGCTGCCCAGGCGGGTCTCGAACCCGCGGGCTCAGGCAATCCACTCACCTCAGCCTCCCAAAGGCGCGGGATTACAGGCTGAGCCACCGAGCCCGGCACTACTTATTTATTTCTTAAACTACCAGCTGCATATTAGAAAGCCCTTATAATATAGCCTCAACTGTAACCCACAATACTGTCACTTGACCTTTCAGTTGTCCTCCACTGTGAAAACAAAATTTCAGTGGGATTATTGCCATGCAGAATGGGTAATAATTAATAAACAAAGTTATTCTTTTGGCACTCATTATTTAAGGACAAGTGATTCTCAGTAGGAAAAAGTGGTATTTTTTCCTTTAAGTTTTTGTTTTTCCTTGAATTTAGAGAAGATGTTTTTCTTTGGGCAAAATGCAAACATCATTTGTTTATGTTGCTATTTTGGTGAGTGTTGAGAACTCAAGGAGTTGCCCCATAAAGAAGGAAAGGATGGGATGTGCTCAGGGAAGTTTGTCCAAAAGGTAAGGATATGTGGACTATTGAGGAGAACACAGAAATGAAAGAAAATGCAGAGAAGAACTTCCCATTAACTACAGGGATGTGGAGATGGATAACCCTACTCATGTATAGTGGTGGTATGGCCGCTCCTCCAAGAAGCCACCACTGACTCCCCATGCACTTAGCATCTTGAGATGGGATTGATGTTAACGACTGTAGATTGTAGAGTTGGACTTAGGAAAGCTTGGAGCATCAGCAAGAGTGGGTTAGGGTGATGTATAAAGCTTAGGCTAGCTCTGAGATGTTAAAAAATCTGTGAAACAGGGAACAAAGGATTTCTTGTTTATGCTGGGTGGTAAATAAAGTGAATAAAGCCAATCTGGTTCACTCCAGTGTCTTTATTTCTGCATTATTTTGGTAATTCTGAGGGAATCGTGGTTTCCCATGGATGGTATCCCTGTACTAGCACTGAAAAGAAGAATTTGGGGTAAGCAATTACAACTTAACTGTGGGAGAACTCAGCAAAAGAAGAGACCAATATGAACAAAACTCCTTTTAGAAAACATTCCTTGTGACCTGTAAGTCAAGTTATATAACAAAGCTTTAAAAATAATCATAGCTGGGCTCGGAGGCTCAGCCTGTAATCCCAGCGCTTTGGGAGGCTGAGGTGAGTGGATTGCCTGAGCCTGCGGGTTCGAGACCCGCCTGGGCAACTTGGCAAGACCTCATCTCTACAATAAATCGAAAATCAGCCGGGCATGGTAGCACATGCCTGTAGTTCCGGCTACTCGGAAGGCTGAGGCGGAAGGATCGCCGGAGCCCAGCAGGTCGAGGCTGTGGTGGCCAGGAACGGCCACTGCACTCCAGTCTGGACGACAGAGTGAGACTCCAACTCAAAAGAAAAAAAACAAAACAAAACCATAAAACTCAGAAAATATCCCCACAAAGACTGCATTGTTCT